AGACAAAAAGGTCTGTAAACGGTCCCAGAGCACTTCAAAGACCGGAAAAAAGTGGATTAAGGTCAGCAGAGGGTCGTGAGGATTGAGGGGCAAAAACATTGTGTGGGCGGAGCCTGCTCCGAGGTGGGCGGAGCCAGACAAAAAGGTCTGTAAACGGTCCCAGAGCACTTCAAAGACCGGAAAAAAGTGGATTAAGGTCAGCAGAGGGTCGGTGAGGATTGTGGGGCAAAAACATTGTGGGCGGGGCCTGCTCCGAGGTGGGCGGAGTCAGACGAAGAATCTGTAAAATAGCTCAAGAGTACTTCAGACACCGGGAAATACGCGCGGCGAAGCCGCGCTCGCCCGGCGCAGCCGGGCCGTATCAGAAGGAGGCGCGCCGGCGTTAGCGAGCCGACTGGTAACAAATAGCGGAATTGCAACTTGCCCTCCCCCCGTCGCCGAACTGCACCGACAATTCCATTATAAGACGCGTGTACACAGGCAGGTTATATTGGCCCTAACGTGTTTGTGGGGTGCCTTTCTACAGCGCTTCTCTTTCTCTTATAGTAACCAGGCTTATGGAGAGCAGACGGTAAAAGTCGCGTAGAGACTGCTCAAAGAGTACTTTCTAGATCGCAAGACTCTGTTCGTCTACGTCTCTCGTTTCGAACTTTGGTCAGGAGCGGGCGTAGAGGCAGAAGTGCCCCCTCCCTTGCCGCGTGTTCACCCCAACCCTGGCCAATTGTGCGTGCCCTTATCTCCATTAAGAAGGATAGTAATTCGTTCAGCGTATTCCCCCATCAGTCTCGCATTCCGTCTTAGGTGCCATTTCCACTCTTCAGTCCCTTCCCACCCTTAAGGGTGCCATTCTCACGACCCATCCAATATAAAATCCACAGAGAAACTAGTACTCTTGACTCAAAGCATTTTTCAAAAAGGAGTATCGACATACTGATAACAACCTACGTGAATAGCTCCATTATCCCTTCCATGGAAGGATCTCGGAAGCAAGGACTCATAATCTGCCCATCCACGCAGAAACCTCTTCGAAAATGCGCTCCGCTTAACCAGATATGATCCTTCAATGTGATGATTATTATGGTGAAAACCTGGGGATGAATACATGAAAGATCCGGCTCTGAGATAGTTTGGAATTTGGAAAAGAATGGAGAAACGGTTAGCAGTGAGATCAGAGCCTACCATCATTAGAAAATCGGCACTATTTACCCTTTACTGCCCCAGCCATCCGAAATCAGGCCAGTTCCTGACCGACTTTTTTCTCCGTGGGCAGAATTTGCTGAAAACTTGGCTCCAGGGGTAGTTCGACCCGCTGAACACGAATATCGCATCCGCTTGACCCGAAACCTCCTGGCGGTAGTTCGACCCGCTGAACACGAATATCGCATCCGCTTGACCCGAAACCTCCTGGCGCCCGCGCCACGGGCGCCGGCAAAATACTCGAAATCACCAAATTCGCTGAAAACTTGCTCCCAGGGGTAGTTTGACCCCCTGAACACGAATATCACATCCGCTCAACCCGAAACCTCCTGGCGCCCGCACCACGGGCACCGGCGCCAAAATACCCCAAATCATTGGCGCCTGTGGCGCGGGCGCCAGGAAGTTTCGGGCTGAGCGAATGTGATATTCGTATTCTGGAGGTCAAACTACCCCAGGAGACAACATTTGAGCAAAATCTGCCCACGGAGAAAAAAGTCGGTCAGGAACTGGCCTGATTTCGGATGACTGGGGCAGTAAAGGGTAAATAGTGCCGAGATTTCCCGATGCAGCTAAGAGGGTCGTATTCAGTCCGAGGGCTTCTTTCGAACTGCTGACTTACGTTTCATACAGAACCAGCAGTATGGCAGCTTTATTACTCGCTCATGAGTGATCTAATGGTAAGAAGGACCTCGCTCCACTACACTTGATGGGTTTCGGGCGAGGGTCGTACCGACGACAAAATTGCCTCATAGAGATGGTATTTTTCAGTGAGGCAAAAGCCAAGCACTCTGTCCGTTAGTTTATATCCTTCAAAGACGGTTGAAAGGGTACGAACTATGTGCCTTTTCGGCGAGGCTGTTTGTAGATGATTGAGGTGCGGGCGGAACGGACATGGACCAATGTAGCCCACTGCCTCACCCTCACATCACCTTAGTGCCTCCAGTTTTTGTCTTGAATGACTTACCAGCAGCAATTTCATGGTTGAAAGGCTGAGGGTAGTGAGGAAGTAGAGCAGAAAAAGGTTGTGGAACAGTTTACCCATCTGCCCCTTCCTTTCAAACTACCTTAGCGCACGAAGGCAGCGTTCAGACTTCGCGACGGCAGCGCTTCGGTCGCGCGTTCGACGCGATCGATGCAGTTGAAAGCATGCGCATCGATCGCTCCGAACGCGCGACCGAGGCGCTGCCGTCGCGCGTGTGCCGTCTGAACGCTGCCAAACTCTGCTCTGATTAACCTACCAGCCATGACTTCATGAATGAAAATCCTGATGTAAAATATGATGTCCTTGTCTGGCTCAAGAAATCGCTCCAACGTACTGAAATGAAGCTATCACACACACATGCGACTAGAGCTAGCTCATATCGTAGAAGCTATTCGCTGAAAAATCAGGGGGAAAGGAGCAGCCATGTGGTTGCCGAGTGCCTCTAGTACAAAACGAAAGAAGACTATGCACCCATTCTCGTTGACCACTCCAATATCAGCATCGACAAAAAGAATCCATTCAAAGCTTTCAAGAACAATAGCGCCATATGCAGTTTCGGTCGAACATGGATTCTAAGGGTGCAGAAACACTCTGAAGTGAGGGGTGAAGTCCAAACTGCTAAAAGGTGCAAGCCACGCTGATGTGTTAGTGGCTCGCGGGCAGCGTCGCGGATCGCCATTCAACGGTCGCAAGCGGCCGTGCGCCTGGGCTCTGTGGTGCTCCAAGGCCAAGTGGTGGCCAGTTAGCTAGTAGTTAAGTGGTGGCCAGTTAGTACGCTGTCGAGGGATAGTATCCCCGTATAGTTAGGTGTTAAGCGCTGCTTCTAGGGCCAGGTCAAGTACATGCCCGGAGAGCGGCCCTCCGTACCATGGGAAAACGGATACGGCCCTGAGGAAGCCCACCAGGAACAGGCGTGTAAGGACCGTGTTTTTGGTCGTGCGGAGTTCTAGCACCGTAGACCGGTCGATTATCTGTCGGCGGCTCAAACGACGAAGACACCTGAGTTCCGCCACCCGAACGCCGCGACAGGCAGGAGAACCGTGAGCTTTCCCCATTTGGGCCTTACATCACCCCTACCCAAAATAGCAGTGGGAATCGCAAACGTAACTTGCTAGCGCTCTTAGTTCTCGGGCCTAAACTGATCAGCGAGGACTGCCGACATGTCTGCGGAGCGTAGTAAGGTTTTTGTCGCTATAGCAACTTCACATCGTTCATCGTGGAGGCTCTCTTTCTTTGTATGCTGCGCCATGTCAAATACAATATTCGTATGTGTGCATAAAAGAGTCATAGCCATTCCTATTTGTTTTCCGCATTTGCTGGTTCGATAATTTGGATTCGCGTCTTCAGTGCGATGTTCCGTACCGTCACGAGTTCAATTATTTCGAATTTGGTTCCTGCTAGAGCATTTTCTCACAGTGAGGAAAAACTGGATGCAAGTTAAGAAAACGGTGACGCGTCACTGCAAGCGGTGACGAGCATTCGGCGTTTCCATCAGAAACCGACTAAAATTGACGCAGAAATGCTCCAATAAGCCATTACCTGGCTGGGAAATGCTGCGCTAGCTCCTGCGTGTTGCCGCAACTACGATCTCCGGCACTATCGAACTACTCCTACCGCAAAACTCAAAGAATTTTTTTAGCTGAAAGCTTTGTCTATAGATGTTATTCGTGTCCTGATCAGGAATATGACATTCATTTCTTGCGCTACCGCCATTTGGCGCCAACACTTTTCTCGCCAAATTTGATGCAAACTTGTATACGGGGGTTAACTGACATCCTGATCACGAATATGGCATTTATTTTTGACGCTGGCGCCATTTAGCGCAGTGAGGCGCCAATCAGGCGCCACACCTTTTCCTCCCAAAATCGATAAAAACTTGCGTAATAGGGTTGTTTGATGCCCTGATCGCGAGTATGGCATTTATTTCTCCATACCAGCACCACTTCTGCTGAGGCTGAACCTGGGAAAAGGAGTGATTCTCTTGAGGCTAGGCTCATTCACCTCTCGTACCGCGAGCACCAGCAACCACCGAGGTGAAGGTATAGAGTTTGCCTCTAGGTAAAAGAGCAGAGTTTTGGCTTTGGTCAATTTTTTTTCGAAAAGTGTGCCTTTGAGATACCACGTTAATCACATGGTACTATTACCATGTAATTCACTGAAATACCATTATTTCCTAGAACGGTGGGAGGAACTGTACGCGAACTAGGAAAGCGCGGAATAGTTCTGGCTCCGCACGAGACGAGCTTAGTATGCGACTAGGGACTCGGCTAGCATCATATCATTTTATTCACTCTACCTCAGTATTACAGACGATCCGGGGAGCGCCTCAACAGCAGGCCTCGTTGAAGATTTCTCCTGCAAGATCGGAAACTTGCAAAATTCAAGTCTTGTGTGAGGAGACTGTCCTATATAATATGAATAAACATACTCACCATGTTCTGGACGATGTTGTCCGAATAAGAGTACCACATTACTCATGACTCCAATCAATAGTAGAACACAAACAAGAAACCTTTTTCTGTGCACGATGAGCACAAAATACCGTACTGAGTTTTCATACCTCGAGATTAACGCTTCGGTTTAAA